CACACACACACACACACACACACACACTGCATCATTATGCAAATTGTCAACGCACAGCTCCTCTCCTCCACCCCACTCTGCGCGCAGCTGCTCTCAGATCAGTCTCTCCTTAACTCCGCCCCAACATGTGACGTCACCGACGCATCACGTTTCTTCACTCTGCAAAGCATCATCAAATTCACCATCCATCAAGTCCCCGTCCTACCCTCCACCTCCTTCATCTCACTCTCTCTCTCTCCTCCTCCTCCTCCTCCTCCTCCTCTGTTGTCTTTTTAATGTAACTTCTGACTGATCGGGAGAGCAGGGAGCGCCTGGAAAGCCTGGTCGGGTGATGAAGGATCTGCTGGCACGCACGGATCAAAACCGGACACGCAGAGAGAAACCAGAGGGGATCAGACGTAGCTTTTTTTTTCTGGAATAACGCTGCTGCTTCTCCTTGCGGATTTCAGCTCTTGTTTTTTGTTTTTGTTTTAATCTCTCGTGGATGGTGAAGACCCACAAGCTGGATTTCCCCTCTATCGTCCGTCCTTCACTTGATAAGTTAAATAATTGTATCACGGTTATCTAATGCGCGCTGAGATCCATTTAATTCTGTTGAACAATGTTTCCCTGAACGTGCGCGAGAGATTAATGCCGACAAGCCGCGCGCGTTAATTATCCAGCAGGAGTAGGAGGGGGGGTGAGGGAGAAAGTTGGGTGCGCATACTTTTGGAGACGGTCGGGATGGCTATGGTGGCGTGGAGAAACACCGAGGGTTTGGTGGTGGGGGACACCCAGGGGACCCTGTCCTCCCCGGTGTCCCAGGTGGCGCCGCTGTCTCTGTCCGGAGAGCTGGCGGGACGCATCAACTCTGCGCCCTCTCTGGAAATAACCCAGACAGGAGGAGGAGGAGGAGGAGCGGCGGCCCAGCACACCAACGCGTCCGGCTCGTCCGCCGCGACCACCACCACCAACAACAACGGCACCTCCTCTTCCTCCTCATCCTCCTCATCCTCGTCCATGGACAAACAGCAGAGCCAGCAGATCGAGTGCATCGTGTGCGGGGACAAGTCCAGCGGGAAGCACTACGGACAGTTCACGTGCGAAGGATGTAAGAGCTTCTTCAAACGCAGCGTCAGGAGGAACCTGTCCTACACCTGCAGGGCCAACCGGAACTGCCCCGTGGACCAGCACCACCGCAACCAGTGCCAGTACTGCCGCCTGAAGAAATGCCTCAAAGTCGGAATGAGAAGGGAAGGTACGAGAGGAACTCAATTTCCCAGCGGTCTTTGCGTTTATTTTATTCGCGTRTGAAATTGAAATTACACGTAATTTTACAACTAATTCATGGAAAACAGCCTTTGTTTGATCTAAGCCGGGAAAATAATTCATTTTACTCGTCTAAATAAATTTCTAAAAACGTCTTATTGTTTTTTTTTTATTATATTATTATCACGCATAAAGCTTCAGTAGCATTAAGTGTTAGCATAGTGTAGCTTATTGAGGTAAGATATTAATGTAGTGTCATTTCGATATTTGTTTGTTAAAACTGCAGCTTTCTAGTGCATGGTTTTATGTGTTCATTCAGGCTGTGTGTGTGTGTGTGTCTTCGTGTGTTTTAGTTTCCATTTTAAGCTATTATTCAGTCCGCTGAGGCCCAGCTAGCTGCTGTAGCATGTTGTTATTGTTAACCAAATAAGCTAGAGATTTTTTTAAATCATATGAATTAGATTTTTGTTTATATATTCAGAATTTGGACAATGTTATAAGCAGATTTTCACAACAAAAATATATCTGCAATTATTTTTGCAAGATATAAGAGCCGGTAATAATTCTAGGTGAATTTAAGCTAGTTCCAGAAAAACAAAGCTGCAAAAACAGCTCGGCTTTTATTTTCAGTTTGTGTGAGAACATGTTTTTATTTCCGCTCAATTTTATTTATTTGTTTATTTTCTGTAGACTTGTCTGAAACATTTTTTGATCAAGCTAGAAACGAAGTAGCTGGAGGAAATAAAGTGTGTTTTGAGACTTTCTTCTTCTTCTTCTTCTTCTTCTTCTTCTTCTTCTTCTTCTTTTCTTCTTCTTCTTCTTCTTCGTGTTCGTCATTTTAGCTTCGCTTTAAACGTGTTTTAGCTGCTTTAAAGCTAAGTTATTTACTGCTTGTTTCTTCCCACACCCAGCTGTCCAAAGAGGCAGGATAGCCACGCAGTCCTATCACGGCCAGTTCGCCCTGACTAACGGAGACCCGCTCCAGTGTCACTCCTACCTGTCCGGGTACATCTCCCTGCTGCTCCGGGCCGAGCCCTACCCGACCTCCAGGTTCGGCTCGCAGTGCCTGCAGAGCAACAACATCATGGGCATCGAGAACATCTGCGAGCTGGCGGCCCGCATGCTCTTCAGTGCGGTGGAGTGGGCCCGCAACATCCCGTTCTTCCCGGACCTGCAGGTCCCGGACCAGGTGGCCCTCCTCCGCCTCACCTGGAGCGAACTGTTCGTCCTGAACGCGGCGCAGTGCTCCATGCCGGTCCACGTGGCCCCGCTGCTGGCCGCCGCGGGCCTCCACGCCTCCCCGATGTCCGCGGACCGCGTGGTGGCCTTCATGGACCACATCCGGGTCTTCCAGGAGCAGGTGGAGAAGCTGAAGGTGCTGCAGGTGGACTCTGCAGAGTACAGCTGCATCAAGGCCGTGGTGCTCTTCACCACAGGTAAATGATACATTTAAAGTAATTATTAAACAATCAGATTTATTACTATTAATTACAATTATCCAGTCATCATAAACTAGATAATACCAGAATAAAGCTCATGGTGAAATATTACACTATAAAATTTGAGCTTTTTTTAGTCAGTTAATGAAAAAAAATTATACATTTTATTATAATTAAAGCATAAATAGATATTTATAAATGGTCTGCTTAAAAT